AAAGTATTTGGTTGCATTTAATAGATTTATTTTCATTATGATTTTCTGTCTTTAAGGAGCATATCCAGCAGGATAAACTTTTCTAGCATTTTAACTTCTCTTTTTAGAGGGCAATGAACTTGTTTATTTTCCTCTTAATTTGTTCCTGAACTTGAATGCTTACAATTTACTGAAGCAAGGTTAAGGATTCTTAAAGCCAAAAGAATGATCAGTTGGTTGGTAACATTTAGAGATAGTTGCTACCGCTTATACCAACATAGGCTTAATTATTTGAATCTGTCAAATGATATGAGTAGGTATGCTATAACTATTAGAAGTATATTAAATTTTCTGGATATAATGAATGAATTCTTCCCCCAAGTAGGTGTAGAGGGACCAAAAAAAGAAGAAGCATTTTCAATGACACAGAAATCTGTACAATTCAGTTCTTAATTCCGGTTTCCTGTTTTGCTCTACCTTGGACATGCTTTAATGCTTAAGGTACCATCTTTTTGCTCACAATGGTTAATGGTCTTTATTCTCACCATTTCTGCTAACGATGACAAACTGGTGACATCATTTTTTTTCTGATGTACTCCCAGAAGTACCATTTTGTATAGTCAAATTATCAGGCTGACCGTTTTTGATTTTGCCATCTCTTCCTCCACTCTTTCTGTTTCTAACTTATTAACTTCCGTTTTAATTCACAATTACCGACCAATTGTCACAAATCATAGTCTCGGCTGTGCTTGGTTTGTGCAAAAAATTTTGATTACCTAAAATCATGTGTTTGGTGGTATGACAGACTGCATGCCAGGTGGCCAATTAGGTTAGGTTTTTGTGTTTTTCCAAATTCTTTCCTAATTTAGGTAATGTAGAACGTCTAGGATAAGGGAGATCGAAGGGACGAAGGGAAAGGGAAGGAATCAGAGAGTTTAAAGTAAGGAAATTTTTCATTAATCAAGTCTGCCTTAAAAGATTACAAACTGCTCTATTTACAGAGGCACAACCCTTTGTACTCTAGGAAAAGGAAAAGTAAACTTTAAGAAATAGGAAAGCAAATTAACTAATAGGAGATCCTTCAACAACAAGGAATCCTTAACTGAAGTAATAACTAATCCAAATAGAATAAGGAAAGCTAATAATAATTCATCCAAATAGAATTAGGAAAACTAATCATATGCATTCTGCATCATTAGGGTTTTCTTATTTATTATATTTTTCAGTCCTTGCCTTCCCCCTTCCTGTTTTGCTGAATGAAAACTTTTCAAAGTTCTGTGCTTCTTTGTGGTCACTCCCTTACTGGTTAATCACCATTAGTAGAAAAAGACATTAATCTTTGAACAATACCTTTATGTTCTGAACAAATTTCTCTAGTTTTTATTTTTAATACAAAAGTGATTCTAAACTGGAAATGCAATCTTACCAAAAGAAACTTTGTATTTCTTTTTAATATAGACTTGAAATTAGTTATGGATCTAGTGTTGTTTAACACAATGCGTTAATATTTTCAAATTGTGAGATACTCCATTCAATGCTTTTCATGATAGCTTTTCAGGCGACCTTGATTGCTCAAGGGGATGTTCCTCTGTCTATTGTAATGACGGTATGCACAACTCTTGGGGCAGTAGCCCTGACTCCTCTACTAACAAAGATATTGGCAGGGACTTACGTCCCTGTGGATGCTGCCAAACTGTCAATCAGCACCATGCAGGTTAAGTTAAATATAATAAACTTCAGTAATATTATATTATCCATCAGCTGGGGCTTATGGTCTCTATTCTGTCATCTGTAGGTCGTTGTTGCTCCAATTTTGGTAGGTTCTTATATGCAGAGTGCATTTCCTGCAGTGGTTAAAATTGTGATACCTTTTGCACCACTTTTTGCTGTTCTAGCTTCATCACTGCTTGCATGCAGGTACATTTGTTATGCATATAAATATCTTTTTAATTACTTATATGTAAAATATGATTGTCTTGCCTGTGGTTCCTTCCAAATATGCTCTCTTTCTCACACTACTAGATTTTATTTTGTGGGCCAGTGTATTCTCTGAGAATGTTGTCCGACTCAAAGCTTCAATGGTTGCTGTAACATTGCCGGCTGATCTGTCTCTAATGGCTCGTGCTCAGACAATTTTATCTGGAGAAGTTGGGGTGGTTATTCTTTCTGTGCTGTTAGTACATATTGCTGGTTTCTTTGTGGGGTAAGTTGCCTTTAACTGTTGGTGACTTTTTATTGTTAAGTGTGTTGTTGTGGAAAAAGCTCAAGGTAATGTATACATTTTTTTTCAGTATGTATATGTAAAGAATCACTCTAATTTTAGCTCAAAAATTCTAAAAATTTACGTTGTAGCCTTGTATTAATGTATTATTGCTGTTTGATTTAGCTTCTGTCAAGTTTGATATATAAATTATAGAGTGAAGTTAAGTATACTTTGAAAAAACGAACTATTCATAATTTGTAAGCAACAGTTGAGAAACTTTAGTTTGCTGTCATTATGACTTCATAGCCATAAAAGCTATTGCAGTAAGAAAGAATATATTCAATCTTCTTTGTCTATGTGGATTTTAATTTGACATACGAAGATAGAAGCTAGTTTTGTATATGAGCATTGTTGGCAGAGTTTGCACTCATACAAATATTCTTTAAGGTTGTGGTGCTGGGACTGTTTGTTTAGTTTGTTTTGGAGTTTTTGCGGTGCAAATGTGCAACTTGAGGAGTCTTTTTTGATCAAGGAGAGTCTTAATTTGCAGGTATATATCAGCAGCTGTTTGCGGGTTTAGAGAAGCACAAAGACGAGCAATATCAATTGAGGTATTAATCAAATAGAATGTAAACCTTAAGACATGATCTGGCTTTCTATGAATCCTTGTGTTCCAGTTTTGTTTCGGCTTTGGTCAAATTGGTAATAAAGATATAAAAATTCTCTTCTTAAACTTCCTTGTAAGTCCATAGAAGATCTTCATTGTTTTATACTCAGATTGAAATGTTGAAACTTTCATAAATTTTGGTGGGCATGCAACACTCTTCGTTTACATGTTTGACACTTGCAGGTTGGTATGCAAAATTCTTCTTTGGGTGTGGTTTTGGCCACTTCTCATTTCACCTCGCCGATGGTTGCATTACCCGCAGCATTGTCTGCTGTGATTATGAATATAATGGGAAGTAGTCTGGCATTCTTTTGGAGATATGTAGATCCTTCTGACTCCAAGGAGACTCCTACGGTTGATCTTAAGTGACAACTATAGCACCCTTTTGAAGTTTTCCCTAACCCGGCAGTATCTGCTGTGAGTATGAATACAATGGGCAGCAGCAGTTTGGGTGTCCTTGGAGATATGTATCCTTTTGGCTCCATTAGGTCTCCAACAGTTGATGTTAAGTGACAGTAAAAGCCTTTTCTAAGTTAACCAAGGTGGTTGGTGTGAGTGGTTCGGCACTCTCATTCCTTAAGAGAGGTCAGGGGTTCGATCCCTGCTCTCGTACGGAGTCACCACTTTGGCCAACACTTTACCCCTTACGGGCCGACCCGGTGTGAGTGGGGATTAGTCTGGGTTGTGGTTAAGGCTTAAAGGTGCCACCCATAGTTGGGGCCCATCCAGGACCCCCTCATGGTTCAAACCAAAAAAAAAAAAAAAAAGCCTTTTCTAAGTTTCCTGGCATACTTATGGATTTCAGATTCTTTGTTTTATTTTTTATATGAAGATATTGTTAACTGATAGTCTAAAACAATGTCGTTTGAGGTCACACTGATACTTCAAATATGAATAAGCATCCTATTTTATCATTAATATGTTATGTACCTCTAGAATCTCATGGTCTTTCCTCTAGCATCTTGTGGTGCTTAGTTTTGAGCCATATTTGAACTCTTCTACTGAAAATAGTGTGAAACCAGGGCTCCTGAACCCTCTTAGGAACTCAATCTTATCAATATAGCCAGGCCATGGCTTTTGCCGACATTCAACCAACCATTTGGATTTCCATTGTTGTCGCCTCTGTTGAAATTTTTTTCCATGGACATTGTTTTGGTTGTTTCTCTCCAGTGGCCAGGCAAAATCATATTTCTCTTTTTATGCCTTGTGATAAGAACTTGAGACTTTGCCAATGGGGTCTTAGCTCAGTGGTAGAGATGTTGGCATGCAGGCTAGCAATATGCAGTTCGATATACCCCTCTTCCTTCCTAACTGTGGCAAAAATTAAAAAGATAATAACTTGAGACTTCAGTCATTAAACTTAATAAACCAAGTACTTTAAACCTAAACACTACTAAAATAAAGCAATGCTAGTCTTCAAATAAAATCTTCTGGGATATTCATGATACGCTAGACCAGACTCATCTATGGTAAACATTAATAAAATAGATTTGCGGTAAACATTAATGTAAAATTTTCGAAAAAAAAAATGTAAGACATTATTAGATGGAACTCTAAAAAAGTTATCGTACCTGCTTAATAAAAAGACAAGATATAGGACCCGGTGTGAGTGGGGATTAGTCTGGGTTGTGGTTAAGGCTTAAAGATGCCACCCATAGTTGGGGCCCATCCAGGACCACCTCATGGTTTAGACAAAAAAAAAAAAAAGACAAGATATAGAAATTGCACTTGCAGAAGAGCATGCATGCTGAGTTTTTCTTAGAGTGTGAATAACAGTTGTCTAAAAAATTGGTATAAATTAATGACATGCCTGGCAATGCCCGGCATTATTTTCTTGTGCTTTTATATTGGTCATAGAGAGAGATTTTGTTGTTTCCTTTTTAACTGATATGTTATAACTACATAATATTAATACTTGTAATTGTCTCTTGGTCTATTTGAAGGTGTCTTTCTCATTGGTCTATTTTTTTATGGGCCATGAAAAGCACATGAGTATACATCACAATACACGTGCGTGTATGCTTTATAAAAAAATTGTTAGAATGTTTGTTTTTCTCTTTTTTATTTTTTATGGATGGTGACAATTGACAAGAAATTCCAACCTCATTTGATTCCATTTGCAAGGGTTGTAGCCAAAATGACAAGAACATTGCTGCAATATGACCAGCAAATGCATGAAAGTTGTGTCTTTTGGAGCTTCAACGTTAAGATAAGATGAATTTATGTACCTTGAAAATGTATTTTCTCACTGTTTTCATAAAATAGAGCTATATTAGTATTATGTATTTTTCCTGATACAAAAACTATTACAGGAAATAGAATCAAACATGACATGGAACAAACGAGAGAATCAAACACAAGACATCAAGCGAACGGGAGAATCGAACACAAGACATATATATCAAGCGAACAAGAGAGTAAATGCTCTTTATAACTCTAGTTACAAACCACTTACTATATATGAATATATATGTTTTGAGTGAAGCTAATATTGGCATCATTAGATATAGGAAAATTTCAGTAAATTTTCTTGGAGAGAAGCAGCATATAGGTAAATATAGATAAATATGTAAGAACATGAAATAGGTAATTTTTGTGTCGGCAGCAGCTCTCTGAGTTGCATGGAAAAGGCATGCACTCATTTTTGCCAGCAACTTCAAATTTTGGATTTCCAGTACTTATGTCCAAACATGTGTGGGGGTTAAATTTGATTTCGTGTGCATCGAAAGCCTGGCCTGCTTGATTTGTAAATTACTAACAAAGTCTACCAAGGCGTTATTCCCAATCAACCCCCAATAAGCAACTTTTGTTAGACGCCTCTCTCTCTCTCTCTCTCTCTCTCTCTCTCTCTCTCTCTCTCTCTCTCTATATATATATCCATCAACTGAGCTTGCTTATGCACATACTCATAAACCAGCCCTAACCTCTTCAGGTACACATCTGCTCTCTTTCAAGATATATGCATATTCTATATAACTTGGTATGCATTTTTGAACTGTTTCTTCATATCCTTAGGGCCCGTTTGAGATATATACCATTTCAGTTTTGTGCTAGTCATGGGATGATGGGAATTTGGCTATATATATAAAATTTTCATTTCCTTTATATGGGTTCGATGTTCAGCAATTTTGTTTTTCTTTCTCATGTGTGTATATATATACATATATAGGTTTGAAGACTTCTCTTCGCTTCTTGGGAATAAGTTGGGAGAGAGCAACATATATACACTCCAATTATAACAAAGGACTTCTTCATGAAAACAGACCAAGAACTGTATGGAGAAGATAAAAATAAAAATAGTTATGGTTTTGAAAAAGTTGCAAGGACCCCAGATGACCAGCAAAGAGACATCAGCTTAAGATCAATGGATGAAGAGAATAATATGTGTCAAAGTGTTTGGTTCTTCAGAAAGTATCTTCTTACAAGAAGTCAAAATAACGTGGCTAAAACCAGCATGGAAGCTGAATTTGAATCATCACCCCGCACTTTATTACCACCTAAATTTCTTGGTAGTAATAATTTTCCAAGACACCGGCTATCTTTGCTAGAGCAACAGTTGCTTCCTGGATTGCGGTATGTTTTCCTTATATTCATTGTTATATATGCTTATTATGTTTGGGTAGCGATGTTGCCACTCTCCGTTTAAGCTTCTGGAACGTCCATTGAGAGTATTTAAAAGGAATTAAATTGAATTTCTATAAGCTAAACAAGGAGTGCCAAAATCGTTACCCTAATTATTTCTTGTGTTATAACATTAGTTTCCCTTTTGAAATTAGTCCTCTTGAATTTTTATTGTGTGTGTACATACACAGATGTGATGATCAATCCAACAGGACTTCAGAACAACTTACAATATTTTATGATGGGATTATCAATGTCTATGACAATATTCCTGCTGATAAGGTGAATAGTTTTAACAGTTGCATACAAATTTTTAATTTTCAGCAAATAATAATGTGCCCAAAGCTTGAAATCCATGAAGTCTATGTTGTGACTGCCATATTTGACTGTTCAACTTCTTTTTCCTGAAAATAATTTTCTCAAACAATTTATTATAATGTTATATCTTACCAAATTGTGAATAATTATACAAAATTATCTGCTATATTGATTCCCATAGATATTGTCATTGTAGGCACAAGCGATTATGCGTCTTGCCAGTGAAAACTCGTCGGTCAAACCTCTTGTTGCAGAAAGGTTAAAAATAGACAGGCAAAAACCACCTCTCAAACCCAAATCACTATTAGTTTCCAAAATAAGAGCAGGTATGAGTAGTTCATTTCGAGATGTACCTCAATTAGTTATGCGCATTCACCATATACCTGAAAATTTGCGTATTGAATACTCAACATTGCTCATATATCATGTGACTTTTGGTTTGCCATAAAAAAAGGTTAAAAGAGAACAATTTACAATGAGAATACCCCAGTTTCCTAAATTTACCCACCCCTGCAAAATCATCCTTGTCCTGAAGGGTTAGAATATGGAAACCGATAAGATATTCAAGTTAGGGTAAAACTATGATACGTATTCTCTTTCTTGCAGAGGCAAATATATAGGATTACATTGGGGGCCCTAACAAAAGCTAATTAGAACCTAATTAATTACACTCAAATATAGGTCAATTATACAAAAAAATAACAAATCCCTTATAATCACATGCCAACACTCCTCCTCAAGTTGGTGTATAAATATCTCCAATGCCCAACGTCACAAGTGAGTTGTAAAACGTCCTACATTGCTTTATTTAGAATATCTACAAGTTGTAAGGGCTTTGTAACTCAAGTTGTTAAGAGCATTTACCCCTGCATCCATCGTCCTAACTTCGATTCCCAACTCTCCCAATATGTTTTGTATTAAAAAAAAAACATCTACTTGTTGATTGATTTATTTATTTTCAAATGACTACTAGTTGATCTTTAGTCTTCACAAAAGGAATGTTAATCACATTTGCTCTAGTTTTTCCTGAACAGATCTTCCCTAACTAGTTTTTTTCTTTACCTATTTCAGGACTTCCAATGGCAAGAAGATATTCCTTGCAGTGTTTTCTTGAAAAGCGCCGTGGCAGGTAAAGATGTCTTTGTTTGTACGTAGATTGTAATAAACTATAGTGTTATATCGCAAGAACGGAAACTTTTACCAAATTGGAACTTCATCCAAACTACAGTGCCAAAATCATACTTTATAAACAAAATCCATACATGCCATGAAGATCATATCTATTTTCATAGAGAAAACAATGTTGGTACCCATAAATTTGCTTACTATACCTGCACAAATAATTGATGGTCAACAAAATTTTTTACTGTTTGACAAAAGACAAAATAATAGAAGACAAGAAAGGAAAAAATAAAATATGAAAGGAGATATAATGAGCAAATTGATTGGCATCAATAGCTAGAGTTTGCCTTTTCATTGTAGCCCTAGAATAAAAATTTAAGATTAACATGGTTTCTATTTCTTTATTCTGAAGGCACAAAATATTTGATTTTTTCTTTCTTTCAAAACACATAAGATATTTAATTATAATTTATCAATTTACATAGCACTTTACACATGACTTATGTTTTTGCAGGATCATCAACAATTCTCCTTATGTCCTTCATTCTAAAAAACAGGAAGACAATTATGAGGCAATTGTAAACAACGAGTCGAATGAAAGCAATAAACTTTCACTTTTACCATTCCCTTCACGTTTACGATACTTTTCTCCTAGGTCAGTTAATCAAGGCTCGTGTTGAGGGGATATTAGGGTTTATATACCTTAGGTTCTTGCCTACACAATTACCAATTCATTGGCTGGCTATATATACAGTTAGATGTTGTTTATGTTTTTTTAAAAATAAAAAATTATATGTTTTATGATATAGATTGTATTTTTATTTGAGGAGGAATATGAATCATATTATAAATGGTGTTTTTTGAAATTTTCTCCAATTCTCCATATTGCCTCGACATGTTGTTCTATTAATACTTTAAACACAAACTGAAATTTATAAAATCTCCTGGCCTGTTCCTTATGCTAGACTCATTATTGTGATAAATATTTCTTTGAAATTTTTTATTAAAAAAAAAGTGAACAGTTGGAACTCTAAAAAAGTTATCATACACTCATACTTCGGAGACATCTTGCCCAAGGCTCAAGCCTAGCTTGTCCATGGATATCGAGCTCAACCCGACCACCTGGACCTGAGCTCAGCTCGGTCATTTGTAGTCCAGCTCGACCAAGAGGTATTTTACCTCACAAATAGAAATCCCCCAAGTCCCCAGACGAGAGTTTTGTGTGGGGAGTTGCATCTTTTGGACAACTCCTTTTTGGGACCTTGGTTCCCTTTATCCCCACTTACGTTTTGTGAATTTGGTATGCTAGCAGCATGCCAAAACTTGTATATGTTGCTTGTGTTTGTTATACCAAATACCAATTGGATCATGTTTGTGAAAAAAATGGGCACATCAATGTGCACCTAAACTAAGGAAAAAATCCAATATAATTTGTATGCAATTCCATGTGCTTGCCAATCTGAAACTTGACCCATGCATATGCAATGCCTTTAGGTTACAAAAATAGAAATCCATGAGATTCTGAAGGTGAAGATGAATCTGCCAATACTTCATCAACCAACTCCAAACCCCTGCCTTCATTCCATGAGTGCCATGCCTGACAAAATTTCATGTATGTTAGCTAGAATTGTTAAACTGTGCTGCATTTTGCTTTATATAGGTTGCTTAAGCTGTATGAAAGATGCGATTTTGCATTAAGATTTAGAGTGTGAGCTTACATAAGCTAGGAATCCTATATGTTGATCACTGCAATAGAAGTTGGTATTCTTTTTGCCACTAATAATCTCCAAGACCTCGAAGCTGTAGCCATTATATTTTTCAGAAAACATCCCGCCCATGGCATACTCCGGAGACATATAGCCACTGCACAACTAATTGAGAACTGATGAAATTGCTTCTTTGTTTATAGTCTTGAGAAAAATTATACCAGAAAAGTTAAATCTAAACGCCTAGGCTTAAGCCCACCTGAGCTAAGGTGGAGAAAATGCATAGCGACTAGGCTTAAGCCCACTTCGTCCATTGATATCGAACTCAACCCGACCACCTGGATTAGAGCTCAGCTCGGTCATTTGTACTTTAGTCCAAGCCAAGAGGTATTTTACCTCACAAACAGAAATCCCCGAAGTTCCCAGACGAGAGTTTTGTGGAGAGCTGCATCTTTTGGACAACTCCTTTTTGGGACCTTGGTTCCCTTTATCCCCACCTACGTTTTGTGAATTTGGTATGCTGCATGCCAAAACTTGTATATGTTGCTTGTGTTTGTTGTACGGTTGTACCAAATACCAATTGGATCATGTTTGTGAAAAAATGGGGACACCAATATGCGACCTAAACTGAGCCAAAAATCCAATATAATTGTATGCAATTCAATGCGCTTGCCAATCTGAAACTTGACCCATGCATATTCAATGCCTTTGGGTTTCAAAAATAGAAATCCATAAGATGTGCTTATGGCATTTACGGGGTGAGCTTGTCATTGTTCAATTGTCAGTAGTGAGAAATTCCCCCGGATGGTAGCAAGGCAATTGTCGAAATAAAGAGCTGTCCATAGGCAACGGCCTGGGAAAAACGCTGCAACACCGCTAGGAAGCCATGTGCTTGCTGTTTTTTATCCTTTGCTGAACTCGCCTTAAACAGTAGGCTACAGTCTAAAATATCCCCTTTCCTTACCCCGAAGGCTAGGCGTAGTGCAGTAGTTCTTGGGCCCTGTTTGATTCACGGAACAAATTTGAGGGAAAATCACTTTACAAAACAGACCAACTGATGAACGAATTTCTAGGAAATCGGCATGATTATATACATATATTTTTTAAATTTTATTACACGTGGCGCTTTAGGATTGGTGCTTGTTATTTTGCATAAAATCGGCCGCACCCGATTAAGTGACTTCTGCGTCACTCCGCCACTATTCTTCTTCACTCAACGACGCGCGGCAACAGCAGCTGCTCAATCTCAGTTTTAATGGGGCTGTTGGAGTTTTCTGAGCTAATTTCAAAGGCTTTATAGCCTAGTTTTATTGGTAGCCTGTACATAAAACTGAATTAGGGTTTTGTGTGAAATTGAATTGGGACTAGGGTTTAATTTGTGCTTGCTGTTGTCGGATTATGTTATGTTGGTGGGTTCTCGGGATATTTCTGTTGTTTCCAAGGATAATTTAATGAGTTAATTACAGTTTAGTACCCTATGATTATATCTTAAGACATATTAGTCCATATTTTCTCAATTTTTATAATTAGATACTCGATCTTTTAAATTTGTGTGATTCCCCTTTTAGGGTTTTCATCAAATATGACTGTTGCTTACGTGGCAATATGAGTCTCACATTTTTCATTTTTTAATTAATTTTAAATGGATTAAAATATTTTTTTTTTGGGAAAAAAGTTCCAGAAAATGAGAAGGGAAAAATCCTCCCCAAACCCCCTGCGATTTTCTTCTACCCCTCATTCCCCATGACCACCACCCTAGCCATCCTCCAAACCCCCCAGCCCGCAACCAATCAGACTCCCTCCCCTTCTCCCCCGACTTCTTCTCCCCCGACTTCTTCTCCCCCTGCCCCGACCCCAAACTCCAGTCCCCACCTACCAACCTCAGCTTGCCAACCACTCTCTCTCCATCCTCCAGAGCTCGTTCCCGCCGTCGCCCGACGCTTTTCGGCGAGATCTGACGGTCTGTATCTCTCTCTCCTCTCCGCTCTCTACCCCCTCTCTCTGCATATTAAAAAACCAACAAATTGGAAAAAATAAAAATAAAAAAATTCGTTGGTTTTTGAATTTGGGTGTTTTTTTTTTTTTCCTCAATACATAACTGTATAATTAGCGTTATAAATTGGTGTCTCATATAATGTATATTTTCATTTACTTCTATTAATATAGGATTCTAAATATTTGATAATGAAAAACATCAGTGAGGCCGTACACAGACACTACACTGTTATAGGGTTATGGTAAATTTAGGATTGAATAAATTTGTTCTTAGAGATTATATTTTAGCTATATTTGTTAAATGCCTCTTTTGTCATAATCATAAATTGCATCTATAATCGCATAATTTAATTTATAAAAAAAACTAATTGTACCACCTCAACTCATCATGTTGTGCACCTCTATTACAGAGATGGCAAAGAAGATGGTTAGTTGAGATGGGAAAGAAATAGAAGGATTTTTTACGATGTTAGAGGGCAGGAGGTGCATAATTTGTGGGAGAGGTCTGATTGAAATGCTGTAGTGTCTGAAGTATTTTTGGTAGTCTGCTTTCTGTTGCAAGTTTTTTTTTTTTTAATCAAAAAGATAAAAGATAATACAAAGAGCGGTACAAATTTAATTTAACTCGTAGTATCTGTACCGGATATGGCACCCTGGTTTATTGCCTGACTAATTGGAGTGTGGTGGAGTTCATTGGATAGCTCTTATGTGAACTTTCTACTCGTGCAGGTGGGTACAGAGCTACTAAGAGCAATGGCGCCACCCAAGAGACCGCTAGCCAATGCCCAAGTGAACTTTCTAGTCGTGCAGGTGGGTTCTTGAAAATAAGCAGAAAGGCTTCTCTACCATTTATACCTGCCTCAATCACACACACAAATTCATTATAGCTGTACCCTATGAACCATACATGGCTTTGAAACTAATGCAAATCGCTCCCCATGAAGCCGAAAACCCAACGGAGCTCTCTCTAAGGCAAGCCTTTGAGCTTCTTGAACCAAAACTAAGACCCCCGTTTTCATTAACAATTCCAAAGCCACAAGAATACTCGGTGCTCAACAAAGCGATACTTTATGGAGTTTTATATGAATGCCATGTCGGAAAAACACATATTAAGCACTTGCATGCCATTGTTACTGATGGGTATGGCTTGTTTGTTAGTTTCCTTACCAAGGTTGTGAATGAATTGTATGTGAAACTTCTTGAACCACAGAAGTGCCAACTCGTTTGGGTTACTAAGGAGTTGATTGATGTTCTAGCAGTAGGCGTTGATGGTTTGTTGGTTTGTTTGTTGAGGCAAATTGTTGGTGGGGATTTTAGTGATGGAAATTTGTGGCTGTGTTTTGAGATGGTGAACATACTTTTGACCAAATGGGATTGTCTTTTAGAAGTAGAATCGATGATCTTGACGAGTGGGTTGTATGCATATCTTCGGTTATTAGCTGATCACTGTAGGCAGTTAAGTAATCCAAAATTAGAGGCGTTAAAGCAATTGGAGATTGACTTTTGTATTAAAGTTTTAAAGGAGCAGTTTCCTTTGTGTTTGAAGATTGGCAGGGATCTTGTTCGACTCCTACAAGATTTGGTCCATTTACCCAAATTTAGAGCTATATGGAAGGATTTAGTACTGAACCGGGGCGAGTTTAAGACTCTGGGATTTTCTGGTATTGCACAGCTCTATATCACAAGGACTCCAAGTCAGTATATGTTACTTCGGATTACTCCAGAAATGGAGGCGCAGTTGAGATTTTTACTCACGCATGTGAAGTTTGGGAGTCATAAGCGTCACCAGGCATGGTTTGCCAAGAAGTTTCTATGTGAGCCAAACAGAGAGACTCTCATAGTCGACATTGTTCGTTTTATATGTTGTGCACACCACCCGCCAAATGAAATTATTCAGTCAGATGTCATTCCAAGATGGGCTGTTATAGGTTGGCTGTTGAAATCTTGTACGAAGAATTATGTTGAGGCTAATGCGAAACTGGCTCTACTTTATGATTGGCTATTCTTTGAAGAAAGAGTAGACAATATTATGAATATTGAACCTGCAATGCTGTTAATGGTATACTCTATACCCAGATACATTGATATAACACACACCCTTCTCGAATTTCTGTTCCTTTTGATGGACAACTATGATGTGGAACATTATGATATCCTAGTTAAAGGTGTGTCATCATCATTTAGTGTATGTGTAAAGAAAGGAGTGATCCGTTCACTTGATGTCTTGACCTCTTGTGATGCACTGTCTCCTATATTGAAAGAGAGGCTTGGTAGTTTTTTGTTTGGTACAAAATTTGAAATCTCTGGAAAGTTGAAACAAGCTCATCTTCCCGGTCACTTTGAGAGAGTGAAAAATTCTACCTGTATGGAAACTCCAACACCATCACCAGAAAGCATGAGATGAATTTTATTTCTTTTTTATGCTTGTTACCAATGAAGGCATGTTTGCTTGACTATAATACCCATTGCTATGTAAAATGTTGCCCATCATGAAATTTAGAGGGGATATACTATTATTCATCCTTCTTATGTTATGACGTTTGAAACAGGAGTTATACTAGTGATAGGATGTATTTTCAATATGCAATGAGAACTATGACTGAATTTGAGAGGAATGGGCGAACCATATGTATTTGCCTTTTGTTCTTTTACTGTTGCTAAGGTTATTTTCATCAAATGCTTATTGGCATAGCCACCATTTGTCATAACTTGTATTTTGCTTAGTGTAAGATTCTTTTTCAATCTGGGATATCAAAGTATACATGAGAATTGACTTTGATCCATCTTCACCTAATTTGTTAACAGAAGGTTTTATAAGTTTAAAGGCAGTGGAAGGTGTGACGACCACAGCTCTGCTCCTCCATGTGCAGGGTAAGCAACTTCCTATGCAGTAACCTCTATGTTTATATTTCTGATCAAAGTTTCCTTTCGGGGGTTTGCTGTTGGTTTGCTCTACATTACGTGTTTTCTCAGTTGGAGTGTTAATTTTGGCATTTCTCTTCACTCTTTTCAAGTAAAATTAGAATTGTCTTTTGGGTGGTTGCTGCAATGCAATACAGGGAAAATGATATGGAATCTTAGAAACTTTGGTGGTTGAGTTTGAGTGGAGAGACTGTTTTCTTGAGTTGGTGTGATTTGTATGAAGCATTTTCACTCTTGGGATTCTCTTCTTAAAAATATGGGATGATTTAAATTAGAAAATAAGGAGGCAGAATAATAATCAGTGCCAAGGAGAGAATATGAGTTCTATATTTCAATTGTAGGCTATTGTATTTTATGGATGGTTGCTTTTAGAAATAAATAAATTATTGTATGAGTTGTTTCTGATATGGGCTTTGATGTTTAGGTTTGATGATTCACAGTCATGGCTTTGCCTCTGATTAGGTTGCTTCCCCACCGGTTCAACACCATCAGGGCCTTTGTAAACACCAAGGTAAAATGGGTCAGAGATCCATACTTGGACTACGCAGTTGAAAGAGAGAAAGACCTTAAACAAGTCATTTCCTTCAAGAACCAAATCATCTCCAACCCTTCCAAGTCCCTCCCTCTCTCTGCAGCCTCTTTGCTCAAACCCCACCTCAACCTCCCTACCACATCCACCAAATTCTTCCAGAAATACCCCTCATTCTTCTCCATATTCCAGCCCTCCCCTGGTCTCCCACCCCATGTCAAGCTCACTCCACAAACCCTCTTTCTCCACAAAAAGGAGTCAACCATTCATACCTCCATGTCTAACAAATACAACGCCACTGAACGACTTGCTAAGCTTTTGATGCTCGCTGGAGTGACCAAATTGCCCATGCACCTGATTAACAGGTTGAAATGGGATCTGGGTCTTCCTCATAATATTGTGGGTACCCTTCTTGCTGATTTTCCTGACTACTTTGAGGCTTGTGAAGTTGGGGATGCAGTAACTGGTAAAGTAGAGATTGCTTTGGGTCTTGTTTGTTGGAGAAAGGAGCTTGCTTTCTCTCAATTGGAGAGAAGGCCAATAATGGGCTGTGCCCCGAATGCAAAATTATCGAAGCACATTGGGTTTCCAATGAATTTTCCCAAAGGGTTTGATTTGGAGAAGAGGGTGAAGGATTGGGTTGAGGAATGGCAGGCATTGCCATACATTTCGCCATATGAAAATGCAACCCATCTTTCACCAAATAGCGATCAGGCGGAGAAGTGGATGGTGGCAATGCTTCATGAGGTTCTTTGGCTTATGATTTCCAAGAAGACGGAGAGGGAAAATTTGTTTGTTTTGGGAGAGTATTTGGGGTTCGAAAGGTCGAGGTTAAAAAAGGCTGTGGTGCATCACCCAGGAATATTCTATGTTTCAAATAAAATTAGGACACAAACTGTGGTCCTAAGGGAGGCATATAGGAAGGACTTCTTGATTGAGAAGCACCCATTAATGGGTATGCGGTATCGATACGTTCACCTAATGAATAAGATGCAAAGAAGGGATGAAGCGACTCTTGTTTCGCCTTCTGGTGGTTGAAAACAGATTTCCATCTGCTGATGGTGGCGGTATAGAAGAAGAACTAGGAGAGCAGAGTGGGAATGGCTCTTCAGATGCTGCGTTTTAAGATTATTGTAATGCTGTGATGATATGGAAATATGAGGGAGGTTGTAGGGAGATTTGATGTGATCAGTATAATTCTTAGGAGGCTTGATGTTTTGCTAAAGGCAACTGAGTATTTTGATTGAGAAGCCGAGTTAATCTATTAGATAATATATAGAAGTAAGAAATGCTGATCGGGATCTCATGCAAGCCAAGCTGGTATTACCTCCGGTGAGAGGATATGAGTTGTTGGAAATTCAGCAGTTAGTTTCGAGTAATAGTGGAAGGTGAGTGTCTTGACCAAAAAAAGTGGCAGGTGGCATTATAATAAGCATCGACATTGCATCAATTTGAATCTTTCTTTCTTCCTTTCTTGTTTCCTTTTTCTGCATACCATTTGCATTCTTTTCCCATGGTTGTCACATTATTCCATTAAGGGTTTTAAGTCTCTGTCTAGTTGGAGTTAAATCTCTGCCTAATCTGAATTTACGTGTTCTCTGGTTTGGAATTCGATGATTGTATTTCTTAGTGTTTTCTGGTCCTTGACATGGTTTTGTTCAGATGCTTTATCACCTTAATAATTTTAACTGTGCCAACAAATGAAATTGCGTTAAAATGTCTTAAAAAAGATTTCCTTGTGTATGCTAAGGTTTGGATTTCATTATAATGATTAATTTTTCAGTTACCTCTTGTCATATCTTCTGTGGGTACTGGGTAGTACAAGTATTAGAAATCAGATTTTTGAAGTCCTTTTTTTTAACTATCCTACCGTGTTTACTTTTGGGAATGAAATTTGAAGTTCATATGCAACAGTTTATAAATTATAACAAGTTTCTAGACTTGAAGTTTTTAAATTGCCAACATTTTGGTGCAGAAGCTCATGGGGTTTTCACTCAATTCTTATCGCAAAACCTTTCCTTTTGTGCATAGAATTGATTCACGTCTGCACATTATTGTGACTTGAAACTTGCAAGCAAGTTTTGACAGTTTACGAACCATACTCGGGTGTTCGTTGCCTTTTTTTAATCTTTAGCCCTCCCCTTCTTTTGTTCATAGGGTCCACAAAGCTATTATAATCAGTCACAAGTGAAACACGAGATTGTTTTGTTGTGTTTTTTAGTTGATACTAGGTTGAAACGTGAAGCTGGACGGTGCCCGACTGGTGATAGAACCAGGTAAAAAGATATATAAACGAGGTCAGATTCTAACTTAGAAACATTGTAACATGCAGCATTTTGGCTGGGATGAGCATGTAGTAGGCTATAGGCACACTATCCACTGGATGCACTAATCCACCGGAAAAAGACTTCAGATGTGAAAGAAGATTTTTCGAGAAGATAAAGCAACATTTCTGGATAAATGTTGCGGGGATGTGAGTAGAAGATATCCTGCAACAAATATCACGCACATGAGAATTTTTGGATAAATGATTGAAACCTACTTTTAATTGTCAACAAAAGCATCTGTGGCTGAGAGTAAACGTTCCAATCGATTAAAACGTTTACAATTAATAGCAATGTAGAAGAGTAGGTTTGAAACCTACTTTTAATGGAAATGTTTATGTGAATGCTGTTCTCTCTCTCTCTCTCTCTCTCTCTCTCAACAAAGAAAAGGTCCCACTTGTCTCTCTCTACTTAAAAAATTTAGGTGGCAAGTATTTACCAGGTGTTACACCAAACATGTGCTTATTTATTTTTCTGGGACTGTTTCACGTGCTACAACCCCACCAAGTTGCACATGCTACCCTACCCTGTCTTTTTTGTTTGTTTTTGGCTCTTGGATCCAGACGTGCTGGTTTTTGTCTCACTATCATCCGTCTTTTCACATTTTATAGGAAAATAACCAGAAAAATATATAAGACTGTTGTGAAATAAGAAGGGTTTGTATGACAAATGATACCCGAATTCTTTTAGAAGTCTTTCATTTTATTGTTTAACTCTCAAATCGATCACTATAGTTCTTCATCTTTTGGTCTAGACATCAATTGAGTTCTCTAAATTTTCGTTAAACTCAGTCATGTGACTTAATCTTTTGGTTTAAACATCAATTGAGTCCCTAATTTTTTGTTAAACTTGGTTATGTGTCATCACTTGACCAACTTTAAACAAGCATTTTCATCAAAATATAACTCATTTGAGTCTTTAAACGTATGTTTTTTATATTCTCAATAAGGTTATTTATTCACCATTTAGGGTCAACAAAAGCGATAGCCACGTTAAGCAAAAAACGCAAGCTTTACTTTTGTCATGGGTAAATATGTTGTATTTTAATAAAAACATCCTTTTAAAGTTGATCACTGTCATCGTGTGACTAATTGATGTGTTATGAAAAAATTAAGGGTCACATTAATTGATTCGAAAAAAGTTTGAGGACTGAAACGAACACTTGAGAAAAAAAAAATTCAGGAACCATTCTTGATTGAAAACCAAAACCCCCCCACCTAAAAGAATACGAGAGTACAATTTTTTAAATAAAAATATCTCTGAGTTTCTACTTAATGGGATTCATCATAGATATAAGTAGGGTCCTCCAAAAATTCTAAAAACGAATTGATGAACTCCGTACCCACCTCTCCTTTTAAAAACGAATTGCCTATTCAACCACCATGTGGTCTATTTTCGATTGGTTTTATTTGACGCAAATTGACATGAGGGTCACATGCTATCATATTTTGCTAGATGTTTTTTTATCACATATAATTCGTTACATTAAGTCAATCAAGTTTGAAAATAGTTGTGAGATTGCATCTCAAACAGTTAATGGCCATTGTACGTGATGGCATTAATGTTAGTTAATTAATTAACGTTCATGTTACTCAGTATATATGTATTTTCCAATTTAAATAATGCTATTTTTACTACATTTGCATATTATATTCTCATATCACCTTATATAGCATATGAAGTAGACAGTCACATCAATTAAAAAGTATCAATAAATCATAAAAGAAAAGAAAATGTTAAATTAATTTTAATTGATGTAACTGTCCACCTCATCTACCATATAAAATAGTATGTGAATGTGGTATACAAATATAGTAAGAGTAGCATTATTCATATTATATACACAAATTAAATACATAGTGATCAGAGATGTCCGATTCTTCAATTTATAAAGAATAACCTTTTCAAGCAAGAAAATTCACACTATTTCGATAGTGTGAATTTATCTCCAAACCTTTTTTATTTTTTTTTTCAATCAATCTAGCCATTGTCAGAGTCCTAGTATTTTAATCCAAAATGCCGTTAAATAAAGTTGTGTCACGTTGGAGGGCATCTTGGTCATTTCATGCTATATTCTCATGTTATCTTCGTTTTTGTTGACTACACTGTACCGTACGTATTCCCTCTCATGTATAAAAATGCTTGTTCACCTATCAGAAAAAAGAAAGGTACAGTTTTGTTTTTCAATTTTTCGTTGAATTTCTGGAATCTTCCTTCCAATTATATATGGACCCCATCTCCCTCTCTGCTTAACTGCCTTTATATAAGCCCAGTATACTCTCTCATAACATATATCCCCACCACAATAAACTCTGAGAGAGAGAGGGAGAGAGAGAGAGAGAGGATGAGGAATGCAGGAGAGTTTGAGGATACAGAAAGGTGGAATTCATCTTCAAAGCTGCCTCAGCTGTGTTTAAATCACGTGTCATTTGTTTGCAAGTCAGTTAGCAAGTCTGTGAGGTTTTATGAGCAAGTCTTAGGTTTTGTGCTCATTAAACGCCCTTCTTCCTTCAACTTTGAGGGAGCTTGGTACGCCGCCCTTACCCTTGTCCCACTAATTAACCTCTCTTCTATTTCACTCACCCTTCATTTTAACCTCTCTTTTTTTCTTATTTCCATGTGTGGAACTTTTGCTCAGCTTATTCTTTTCCTAATTACTATTTCATAATTAATAATATAAGATTAATGCTAATTGAATCATCATCATATCTCAGGTTGTTCAACCATGGAATTGGTATTCATCTGCTAGAGTCAGACAAAAATATCCCAGAAAAGAAAGGCAAGATCAACCCAAAGGACAACCACATTTCATTCCAGTGCTCAGATATGGGGCTGGTTATGCAGAAGATGGAGGAGATGAAGATGGAGTATGTGACAGCCAAGGTGGAAGAAGGTGGTGTTATTGTGGACCAGCTCTTCTTTCATGATCCAGACGGCTACATGGTTGAAATTTGCAATTGTCAAAATCTCCCAGTTCTTCCAATCTCCTCATGCCCTATCAAGCTTATTACCAACACCAACGCAAACCATACATCATCATCATCATCCTTTTATGGTAGGTCTGCCTCTTTAATATGGTATATGATTTTTGGTCTTCGTAATTTGGGTGAAGTTCTACTTTGGTGCCTAGATTTGATTCCCCTTCCCCGCTTGTATTTTAAATTGAAAACCCTTGTACATAATCTCCTGACTGTAATAAGAGTCTTTAAATCAACGGTTGAGGTAATTTTCATTTCATCATAAAAAGTGCTAAAATTAAGAAGAAAATGCAGGGGAACAAAGACAAGAGATGAGCTGTTCTGGAGAAGCTGCGACGCTGATGATGGAAGGCTTAGTGATGGACGTCATGAACATTTCCATGTGAGAGCATTGTTGCATTGTTAGGATTTTGTTTTGGTTGATTTGGGGTGTATTTGTGGTGCTCTGTTACGAGATTCCTCTGTTGGCCCTCCTCTTTCTGCAAACGCCATCGATTGCTTCCCTTATTACGGAGATGTCAACGTTGGCTGTGAAATTATTATTATTTTAATCTTTTACTGCTAGGGTTTGCTTGTATATTAATGCTTTGTTTTGTTGTCGGCAATTATATTCGGGCCTTGGCTTTTTTGGACTTTGCCTCTTTTGGGCCTTGTACCGGAACTTTCTATTTTAATGAATATTCATTTACAACCTAAATGCTAGAATTAGACAAGCCCTAGCAGTAATACTAGCTGGTGGACTAGCTTCTAGGATGAGCAAATAGTAAGCTCATTACGTGATGAGAGAGATAGAGAGAAAAGAATTGCATGAACTCGTGATATGCAAGTTTCTACGGCATATCCCTCCTCTCTCTATATCTCTTCTTATGTTACATATGTCGCCTATCAAAGAAAGAGAGAGATAGAAGGATTTATCATCGTGTTATTGCTCTCTTCTCTCTATCTCTCTCCTTGTGTCGCCTATTAAAGGAGAAGAGAGAGAGAGAATGGTGAGTAACAGGAGG